TACTCGCTCATCGCCTTTATTTCAGCTAGTAAAAGTAAAATTTACTTTCTGGAAAATATCTAATTTAATGAGAAATTTTTCCAGCTTTCGATCTAGTTTTATTTTCAAACATCTTAAATTGTCAGGCTAAGTATAAGTATATAATTTTAACGCGTGCATGAAATAATAGGTTAATTTTACTCAATAAATTATAATAAAATACACTGCATCGATTGAAATTTTACAAATCAGTCGTCACTTTTTTACTCAAAGTATAAAAAACATCGATCACGCACACGCCTGCTTTGTTTACACTCAAGCTCGAAGGGCATATATACAGTACAGAGCATACGTTGATGAACAGAGCCCAAGAGTTGTTTAAGTTTTTGCATTCTTACTGTGCGTGTTCTTTGTCTACGCCATAAGCTTGACAACTTAAATGAATGTATATATTTTTTCTAATAATTTTAGTAAATGTAATACTTTTTTCAATTAAACTATCAAACCAGGTATGTTGAATAATACAAAGTATGTACTTACACAAGATGCAAAACCCGAACCTTACGGATTCTTGACAGAAATTTTAACTAATAGTCACAGAGAACTACTCTTTTTTTTGCGTCCGCACTCAAGCACGATAAACACAGAAATGACACGGTGTACTCGTTGATTATACGTTTTCCTAGGACAACAAAGCAATCTGCCGGAAAGCCGTATACTTGAAAATAACTAGATACTATTTTGTGCATCGCCTTTTGTAAATATCGATTTTAATTTTTAGGTCTGTCGTGTACCTACAAGTTATAATCCGTACGAAACATGTTTTTATATTACTAAGAAGTGATTTTAATGTCTGGAGCGAGGAATTTTAATTTTTGGGAAAGAACGGGCACCCTAATGAATATCTTAATGAAAAAATTTGTTGAGATCTGTAAAATTTAAAGAAATAAATTTACAAAGATTATATTTATATTTGTTTTAGATTATTTATTTATTTAAAATTTTAGGGCTTTTTTAAACAAATGTACTTTTATGCCGCTCGGGCAAAACCTCGCTGAATATAACGCCGACGTCGCGCCATGATATTTACTCTCTGCTCTTGCCGATACCGCGTGTATTCGTCGAACACTTCAGGATGACGCTGCAGGATGAAAAAATTAAGCAGTACATTAAAATTAATCAGGTTTCATTCAGGTTCAACATCAATAATAGTTATTAATGCGACAAGTGCCCGAAAAGCGTTTTTGCACACAGTGTATGCATGAGTATTGGCTATGCCGGAAAGAGTAGCTTGTTTTGCGCACACTGTGCGGGAAAAGCTGGGTACGTGTTGCATACAAAATTGTATGCAATAGAATGCGAAAAGTGCATAAATAACAAGCATGATACTTTACAAAAAAGTGTGTGCAAAAAGGCATTTTTCGCTTTACTGTTGCATAAAATATTTTAAAGAACTCACTCTATTCAAATGATTCACGAAGTTGCTCGAGATTCCATTGCGGGATTTTACGACAGCCGAGCAGTTTTGACATTTCGCCGCAACGCAGATTGGATTTACGCTCGACGCCTCAGGCAAAATCTCAAAAAATGTCCCGTCACACCATGGCCGCATCAACATCTCCGCATAGAGCTCCTCTAGGAAATCTATTTTTATTTTTTGTACACCTAGTGAATGCAATACTAGCATGTATATACGTACAATAATTTTTTAAAGAATTACTACTAAAGAAAACTACAACTTACTTGTTTTTTATGGGTCGTGAACTTCTTTCGGGGGCACACTCTACCACAGCCAAAACAGAAATGATCTATTAGTATATACCCGCGTAATCTACCTACTATACTGTATATTATATACTCTCGTAATGTACAATACACCAAGTTCACACGTTAGACATCTGTGTAATCAAGTAACACTAGGATCTACTCCAAGACCACAAATGTTCCTATAGTGCACGCCGAGGGACATTATGGAGCACGCCAATCACATCACATGCTAATAAAGGCGTCAAATTGTGGAATGAATATGAAATTTTTTGCATAATTTACGGTCTATGGTGTAAGGATCTATTGACTCGAGATTACAAAAAAAATTTTTTAATGATATTTTGTTTAAGAAGACCAAAATAATTTCTCGAAGAAATCGTCACCAAGTTAGAATTTTTAACAGGTTCAAGGACACGAATAAATAGAAAAATCGGTAATTCAATTATTAACACTGTGACGCCTTTGATCTGTAATTTTACACGCATAAAATGGTTTTAAAATGTGAGTTTATTAAAAAATAAATAAACAATAACTGTTAAATAATTAAAATTTAAAAACTTCGATCTATGAGCAAATTTATAATAATCTTTAACTAGTACGAGTTTGATCTATTCAGAATCAAGTATCATTACGTGACATTTATAAAAAATCTAGCAATCAACACAAGCCTCGCCCTACTCACATGCGTATTCAAATTTACGTTTCTGAAACATCATTTCTTCTCACACTTCCCGGGTGCGTAATCTTTGCGGCATTCGTGCACCGTCTTTTGGTGATCGAGCAAATGCGATTTGCACCCAAATTTCTTCTCACCCTTTTCGCATATTCAATTTTCCAGAACTTTATGATTTTTTTTATGTCGGAAGAGCAAATTCAATTTTCGATCAATTTTTTTCTTGTCTTCATCACCGGCAAATTTTTGCGACCCTAGTGGACTGTCTATATGTGCAAAAGTGACGTTTGTTTATTTCTAAATCTCTTCGCACACATTTCACATAAGTAATCTTTGAAAACTTCGTGGATTATCCTGAATTTTTTCAGAATTTTTCGGAACGATTTTTGGATTTTTGAAAAAATGGTGTTATTCAGAAATCTGAAAAAATTCAGGCATGTTCTTTGATTAATTCTAAACACTTTTAATTTAACAATTTTTTTTTTGTAAAATTGATGGTTATCGAGTTAAAAATTGTCGAAATCATTTTATGACATACAGGTCTTCGGGAGTCAAATTTATGATCGCCATGTTGAATTTCGTAATTATAACTGTTTTACAATAAAGTATACAAGCCGTTGACCATGATTCCGTGAGACGCACGAGCGAACCTTTTTTCCGTGTTGAAATTTGAGTTGAACGAGATTTTTTTCTCGAAATGTCATGTTTTTTTTTTTACAAAATTGCTTCTAACTTTTTATTTAATAATTTTTTTAAAATTCTAACTCCGGATTCGAAAAGTACATTAAATTTTACGTGAGAAATGATGTCTGAAAAGTTTTTTAAACAATTTTTAATCGGTGTAATTCATCGCTATAAATGTTGTCCAAAAATGGTCATTTCAGGCGTTAAAGGGTTAAATGCCTGGTAAACATCGTGCTGCTGAACACCAGACACACGCCGACCTTCACCGGTCAGCAAGACAGCTCAATCATCGATCTCTCCTTCGCCAGCAATTCGCTCACTATCAGAGTGTGTAATGCCGAATCGGTATTATCTAGAGAGAGGTAGCCTGACACATCACTGTCGGTCAAGGCTGAATCATGATTATTATAGCAATTATGATTCTGCGCGATGTTTTCCTTCTTCTGTTATATATTTCAATGAGAGGATGATCGGATACGAATGAAAACAGAGAAGCACGCATGAAAGCACGATTGTCGGAGAAATAAGTATTAGTTACCGTTGGACCGGTAAAGGGCACAGGCCATTGAAGAGATTGATTCTCGTGAGTCGCGCCGTGTGTGTATAGTGCAAGCACGAGGTAGTCCAGGAGACTATCTACGTCAAGCCGCAGGTGTGTGTGTTGTCACGGGAGTGAACTATAGGTTCAAGCTTGATTAATGGGCTGCTGCCCTGGACCCGGTGCCCTCTCATCATTCAACACAATAAAACTGAGAGCAACTATGATTTCATACATTATGTGCAGTATGCACTTTTGATCAGGGGTGAAAAAAAATCGTATTATTTACTCGGCAAGAATGTGAGTGACCGTCAACAACGCTACGTGTTCTCAAGGCGTATCCGTCAATAGCTGACTTCCTTGCCTGGTAATGTATGTAACGGTTGCCAATCCGGGCAAGATGTGGCCCGTGAAAATCTTTTTGACGGCTGAAAAGGGAGGCAGGATTGTCTCAATAATTAGGCGTATTATTTAATAGTAAAAATTAACGATAAGGTGATTTATTTAGCGCCAGTCACTGAGGTGAAGCCTTATCAAGAGCCAAATGATTTACAATTAAATATAATACAAAGAGTACAATGATTAAAGTGTACGACTCGATTTAGTTCACTTCGACTAAATGGTGACTCTACTCGGTGGGTGAGAATCTACATTTTACGGGAATTCGCGACTCGAGAGAGAACGCTATTTGGCAGGCAAATGCTGGAAAAGCGACTTACTCGTTGTTAATTCTAGCTGTGGATGGTCAAATACACCGGGCGACCTGGACCCAAGAAAGCGGTAGCAGGACCCTGGCAGTGGAAGACAGATCCTTGGGCAGCAACGCAGCAGCTCGCACACACTCGCATGTTATCAATTTACAAGGTGCAGTATCGCAGATAGAGTGTTTTACACACGTTCGCACTATAGGGCTCCCAGAGACAGAGTGCCTCACGCTGATCACAAGCCCGCTGTACATGCCCAAGGGGCCAGAAGCGTCGTCTGCTTCTCATCATCGATGGTAGTAGTCTCACGAGCACAGACGGTCTCGATCACGTGACCCTCATTTTAGTGTCGTGCTCTCCTTGCCCGATATACCTCTCTCTCACAGTCGCTTCGCGTAGACGCAAGTCCCTTTCGCATCGACTCGCGAAATCATTATGTTATGGTGGACGTCGGGGTGAAGGAAGGGAAAAGAGATCATCACCCACCAAACTCTGCTCTCTCCAATGTGTCGCGTAACACGTCACCGTTTAATATACTATTTCCTAACACAATCATGGCAATACTTGGAATTTTTTATTATTCATCCTGTCCAAAAATGACCTTAAATGTTCGTCTAATAAACCACTTTTAAATAAAACTCTTTGATTTTTATAGATGGATCTACAAATCATGGAAAAACATGCTGGTATTAATAATTGGGTTGGACAAAAGGTATCACTACTATTGAAAAATGTTGATGTTCCGACTTTGATGGCTCACCATAATTGTAATGATATTTCTGAATGTACTTTTTGTGAATCCACGGTAATATGGTATCAACTTAGCTTACAACTTTTAACATACATCGCTCCACAGCAATTCATTGCAACATCAGATGTAAGTATATAACAAAAATAACATTGTGAGCTTTTTAAGAAATACATCACTTTCGATAATAAATACTTGAAAAAAAGAGTTGGCGAGTTGGTGCGTGCAGGTGTGTTCGGACCAATGCAATTAACATGAATTGCAGGTTCTAGATTCTTTCTATTATCTAAGGATGATTACTCTGAATACAATAAAATTTACTTCATTTTATTATACTTTACTTTATTTTATATTTTAAGTGACTAAGTGTTTTGAAAATCACATTCTCTGATATTAAAAATGAAACCACTCAAAATAGTAACATTTTAAAATATGACAAAGGTAGCAAATTTTAAATGAAAAGTGTGTCTGCTATCACAAAAAAATTTGGTATTAAACATGAGTTGACAGTTGTAAATAGCGTGAAATAATAAAGATGGAGAAATATTATTTCGCATATTTGTATTTATTTATCAGGATGTTTAAGAGTGTCAGGCGAATATTATCGATGCGCTAAATTTAATGATCGAGTCAGAATTGCTGATAAATAAGTAATTGATAAAAAAATTTTTTTTTTTTAAATAAAAATAAATAAGCTCAGTAAGTTATAGCAATTTTTTTCGCTAAAAAAAGCACTATTTAAAAGTTCAAATTGGTGCAAAAAACGCTGAGAAATATTCATTTCAAAATTCCGAAAATTAGGTCAGGACTTGAAACTTTTGTTACACATAACCTGGGTTCTCGTACTCAAAGCCGAGTGAAGCCTTACGATCGAAAATGAGCAAAATGAATATTTATCGATGATTGGTCATAAGGAAAACTTGGCACATAAAAATAAGCTATGATTAGCATTCGTTCTATTAGTAGAAAAAGTGGCTAGCCTTATCAACAAAAGCAAAAGTGATCCAGGTATCTTGGATGAACGCAAGGTCCAAAGTAACATTTAATCGATACTGTACAATATGGAGAATTTGGCAATATGAATTTTGACACAATTGAAACTAACCCGCACGATAAAAATGTTACGAGTATAGTAAAAATACAAAATAAATGGTCAGATGGAAAAAGATTCAACCATAACATAAAACAGTGGTAGTCTCGACGCTCATGCCCTCAAATAATACGGAAAAGTTGGCATTCAATTTCATTGGTCCAATAGTCAAGGAAAATTTGACAAATAAGATAAGATGAGTTTGAAAAACATTTATATCGCTAAATGATGAGGCTCGTATCCAGGCGAATGAATAACGTAATCTTGCTCCTAACAGACGCTAACACGAGAGGAAAAGTTGGCATATTATATTTTTAAGCGAAAAACGAGCTCACGGCTGAACGAATGGTACTTATAATCGATCTCGCTATGGTACGTCGCATGTGTATACGTACACGTATCCAGAAGTTTTACCTAAACTTTTTATTGAACTTAATATGCTTATGACACTCGGAAAAGTTGGCATTCAACATTTTAAAGCGAAAAACGAGCCAACGGCCGAACGAATGGTACTCATTATCGATCTCGCAATGGTACGTCGCATGTGTAAGCGTAGACGTATCCATGAGTCTCACCAGAGTTTTTTATTGAACTGAGTAAACTGCTGACCTATTCGTGAAATCTTGTAAATGTTGCAATTTTTATAAAGAGAAATGTTGCAATTTTTATAAATTTAAGATAATTTAAGATATTTAATCATTTATGATTTATTATCAATTTCGCAAATAATTAAGAAACTGGAAATTTTTTCGAAATTTTTATTTCGAAATTTATTTCTCAAAAATCGTTGAACCAATCTTGGCCAAAGTTCCTGTAAATTAATAATTTATGAATAATTTTTTAAATAATAAAGTAGCTTTTTTCTTGAATATATACTAACAAAAATGCCAATAGTTTTTAATGGAGCATTTCTTTTATTTGATCCACAGTGAGCTTTTCGAAGCGCTCATTCAAAGCTCGCTCGATTTCATGCTGCACTAATTCAGCAGCTTCCAAACTCGCTAATCTCATCTTTCTGAGATAGAAGTGAACAATGCAAACTTTCGGAGAGTTCAAAGGTACTTCTTCCTTCGTGACAAACTTTACGATGTCCCGATAATTTTGGGCTGACCAAGTCATTAAATCGCCGGTACTTGTGAAAAAAAACACAATGAAAAACGCTATGAAAAAAAAACCTATTTGTAGAATGCCGTTAAAAAAAAGCACACCTCTTTGCAACGCCGTGAAGAAAAACACACCTCATCGAGCGACGTGAAAAAAAACACACCTCATCGAACACCGTGAAGAAAAACCGCGAAAACATACTTCGTCGAGAGACCGGGAAAAATAACTTGTCTCAACAAAGGATACTCAGTAATAAGCTTGAAAACTTTGTATCATTAATTTGTATTGTTGAAAATTTTGTATCATAGTTTTTATTCGACAATTCTTGCAAATATTTTGCAAATTTAACATATTTTTACAAAGTTTTAACGACGTTTTACCAAACTAACAAAGTTTTAACAAACTTTATCGAAGTTTTACAGTGATATATTCAAAATTTTACAAAAAAAATGTTAAAAAAAACATTGCATTAAAAAAAAATCGATTACACAGAAAAATTCGTCTTTTGTAACATAACAAATCTTAGTATACAAATTCTTACTTCCGAGGAGACCATCTGGACTGCGGTTTATGGATTTGCAGCAAATTTTATGTGGGGTCTTCTAATACTTAATAATGAAGTTCTCTGTGCTTCATTTTACCTGATGGGCCATAAAATAATTATAGGCCTTATAAAACGAAGCACAGAGAGCTTCATTATTAAGTACCAGAAGACCCCAAAAAAAATTTGCAGCAAATCCATGACCCGCAGCTCTGGTAGTTTCTTGCTAGTAAAAAAATCTATGTCATAACGATAAAACAAAAAACAAGAAGGAAGAAAAACAAAACAAATCTATTCAATAATACCTTCATAAAAGTTATGGTACTTCTTTGGTATCCACATTTTCTCCATCATAGTCAGAAAATGTTTTTTTTTCAGCTTTGATTTACTTGATTCACGGAATATTTTGTTTGACAAGCTGCTCCCATGGCATGTGCCCATTGATTTTGCGTAAAAATTTCTTTGTTCCTCGTGTATCGCTCAATTGCGCTATGCATGGAATCGCCCGAACTTTGAGTGTGACCGACCTCCAGGAATCTATTAATAAACATAAAACAACTTTTTGTGAGTGAGTATATTCCTTAAAAACATATGCAAGTGTGGCAAGTGCGGCCGCGTTGGATGCTGGACTTGTGATCGACTTAAATTGGATTTGCGAACGTGACAGTGCTTCGAAAGCGTAGTTGGAAATTATATACGTTAATGCACAATACCTTAAAAAAATGCACCTCGCGTATAATTAAATACTCATTATTCGAATGACAACTTATTCACGTGGTCAAGCTATCTAATTTTCATGAGTGCGAATAATGTTTGATTCGTCGAAATTATAACAAGCACCATTGTGAGTTTCTGCAGTGAAAAATAGCAATGATCATCCCGAGGCAAAATTCAATGAATCATCCGTTTTAAAAGTGAGCACATAAATACGCGACGATGTATATTAATTGGCTAATTTTCATATTCATGACATTCTTCATATAATCACCAAATGAAGAGGGCAAAATGACAGTTTTTAGTATCACGATGAGTTAATAACTCACATTTTTCCATCGAGATCATTAATATATATTTGGGCACTTGTTGCATAAATAACTTCTTCAGTATATAATTATAAAAACAAACTAAAATATCACCACGTTACCTGTACTTTATTTTTATGTTGTGTAAAACTGCAACCATGGCCAACATCGTAAAAACGTTTTGGTTTTTATTTTGGCCCACGCAATTGTCACTCACAGCTCGGATATCTTTTACATGTGGTTGATTCGAAATAATATGCTGCTATTGATACATTAAGACGGAAGCCACTTCGTTCGAACCTTTTTTGGCCACCAAACAAAACACGTGCCCAAATTTTTTGCTAGGTCGTATGCGGTAAAATTCAATACCACGAGCTTGGACAAATAGTATAGATTCGAAACTTCACACTTTGGTGTTGACAATACTTTTTGAAAATCAAAATGTATTGCAACAATTGACGAGTCCAGTTCAGCTTCTTGTGTGGATTGAATCACAATTTTACGAGCTAGTTTCTTGTTTTTCAAATGCTTGACTCTCTCGTCTTTCCTAGCCTCCTGTTCTGGTGTTAAATTGTTGTACTGAACACAAACGGTGCATCTACATTCCGAATAATATAAATTTTACATAATTTGAAACGTATTCATTAGAAATAAACAATAAATATTTATGTGATTTTACAGTATTTTCTTACTTGTCCTTTTTCGTTCGATAAAAACCATAGTTAAAGTTTTCATCGAACACTTTTTTGTAAAAATGCGGAGAAACTTGAAGATCGTCCATTCCAGCGGTTTTCAACTCTTCATTCAACATTCTGGTCATTGCAGCGTAGCTTAAACCATTCGGTAAATAATTTCGTTGGGTGTCTGCTCTCACGTAATGCGATTCAATAGTTGGGAAATTTTTAATGTGCGCTATTATAAGATTTTTAATTTCTTCCGGATATTGGTTAGGTCTATTTTTGTGAGTCCCTCTTAAATCCCTCTCAGCTACTGATGTTCCATGTGAGCTCAATTTTTTTTTCATAGCCGTTCTCACAATCTGGACGTTGATATCTAATAAATGACTGATAAAGATAAAATGTTTTTTTTAATATAATTTTCCTTATTTTCCCTTTTTTTTACAATGATGATGTACAATTTACACGGGCAATATTTAATACCCAAGACTTACGCCCAAAGATGAAACAATAGACTACTTATATGAGTAAAGTCTAAGAAATTGAAAGCTCAACATCTCGTGAAGACGAGATGAAAATTACATAAGTAATAAAGATCGCGCAAAATGTTTTGCTTGACACACGAAATGTACGTATGAATATGTAGAAAAAGAAAAACATGTTTACTCGTTATGTATTAAAAATCCAAACAATTCAGCACAAATTTAACAAGAAGTTACATTGACGAATTGATAATTATTTGTACGAAGTGTATACTCAGGGAAAAATTCGTACACGAAAGTCTTAATTATAAATGATATTTAAATATTTACCTAAAGTGTCAAGAAACATTTTTCTACACACGCTGACCAAATTT